AAAACATGCCAGACAAACCCACATCCTTTTGGCTGCATTACAACTAGAACGCTAGACAGAACAGGCAGCTCCTGTTAAGAGCACAGGAGAAAGATGGAAAAAATACAAAGATATCTAACAAGACACCTTTAGCTAATAAATAAAGGCCAAGAAGTCTCTCAACTCTATGCTTATTACTTAACAAAAACAAACCCTTGTTTGGTCAAATCACCAACATTTAAGTTTTCTGTTGTACAGCCAAACACAGGCTTTACCACTCAGAAAATTAAAGTCAAAGAACAAGTTTACAGATTAATTTCTTATCTAAATATTTTGTGAATAAATAAATATTTTGTGCTAACGTATGTTAAAGGACTTTTAAAAAAAAATCAATTCATTTTCAAATAAGTAGCTGATACATACAACTTTTAGTTATTCTTCAGTTTTTAGTTATTTTTTCCCCTACTTTATACTTCTATGTAAAAACTAAAATTTAATTTCTGTGGATTTAAGTATCGTAGGTGATAACTGTGGAAATATTCTGACTTAAAAGAATATTAACATGCTAACACAAAGGGCGGGCCAAATTGCTCAGCGGATTAAAGCACCTGCAAGCAGGCACAAGGGCCAGGGATTCCATCCCTGGGCCTGCCATGCTGACCCCACCCCATCCTAGCTCTTGGGAGCCTGTAAACAGGTGGATGACTATGAGTCCAATATACGCAGTGAGACACTATACACCCTGTAGAACCTTCCCTAAAAAACAAAAACAAACAAACAAAAAAAAAAAACCATGCAAACACAAAAACATACAAGTCAACACACAAAAGCAAGTTCTTTAAACACCTCTAAAAAGTATCTAAGTTCATTTATGTAACAAATGTTTTGTTCCTATTAAGTGCCAACAACTGTGGCCCGAGGTTACCTAAATAAAAAACACATTCCCCTTGCTCTCATTAAGCTTACAAGCTAAGGAACAAATAAACCTGCTCTGGAATGCTTTTCTTCAAAGTCAAGATAAAACCAAGATGAAGGCATGGGGCACACACCTGTATTCCAAGCACACTGGAGGCTGAAGCAGGAGAATCAGTGTGAGTTTGAGGGCAGCATAAGCCACAGACTGAGCACATAGTGAGACTGTGTCCCAAAGAAACAAATAACATCCATAACCAAGGGAGAATATATTCCCCAACTTCAGAGACTTTTTTTTCTCCAAGCACACTAGGATCTCCACTGAAATAGCTTTCCCTTATTGACAGAGAATATGTTCAAGATTGTCAATGCATGGATGAAATTGCAAGTATCAAATCTCTCATATACTATTTTTCCCCAATTTACACAAATTTAAATAACCTCTCTACCTTAACTAAGCACTCAAAACACTGTAGTGACAATCTCTGCAGCCTGAAGCACAACAACAAAACTAGCACATTTTTTTTTCCAGTACCAAGAATTGAAATCAGGATGTAGCACTGAGGGAGGGAGGGAGCACAAGAGAAAAGAAATATAAATCAATGTAAAGTTTATGCCATGTAGATGCTGTCAATTCCCTATATAATGATTTCGGTTGTTATTCAGGGATACAACAGGATTTACAAATAAGGCATAGAGAGACCCTCCAATATCTTACTGTTTCAAAGCTGCCTTTATGCATCAAGTCAATGGGTGGCCGGAAAAGATCCGCAAGAGTAGTTAGTTTCTTGTCTATTGCTCCGCCATTTCTTAATTCCTGCTCTTGCCGAACTGCAATAAAAATGGATGACAAAATATCAATTAGCCATAAAATAAAAGAAGCCAAGAACTGGGCAATAAAAAAGTTTGCATTAATTAAAAGTATTACTAAACAAGGTACTTCACCTCAAATGCAAAGATCTAATGCTGAGGAAGGTGAGGAGGGAGTTTGAAGCCCTGACTACTCCCCACCCAAAGGATAAAAGCAGAAAAATAAGTCACTTAGGATTTAGGGTACAGTCAGTGGTTAAGTAGTTGCTTAACATTAGTAAGGCACTCAGTTTGATCCCTAGTACAATTTTTTCTAAAAGACTCATTTAATCAAAATAATTTCCTTAACCTACTCACAAACCAATTTCACCTAAAAGCTTTCAGCCTCATTTACACAAAACCTGAAAGTTATATGAATGTCTGTTGTTTATAACTATATTTTCAATCTTTAAAGATTCTAGCAGTGCCTTTTTACTGTAAAATTATGTTTAATTTCCTGGAATAACTCCAATAAAAATAAGTATATGACCATGCCATAATCCCAGCACTCTGGAGGCTGACACAGGAGGATCTAAAGCTTGAGGTCAGCAAAGAAAACAAGATTCTAGTTGTAGGGCTAATTACTACTTCTGACATCTTCCACCAGAAGGGCATAGATCGCTTAGTGACCTCAGTCAGTTTAGGTTCCCTTTCATCTCTCTTCACAGCTACAGGACTTGTATGCACCTAGATGAGCTCACTAGAAATCAACAACAAATCAAACACAGTTCAAGCGTGAATCACACATTCTCTAAGAACATGAACTGTCCTTTCTTTACAAACCCATTGCTAATTCAATACCAAATCTTCTATAAATATAAAACCTAGGTTCTCCTTACTTATTCCACAAAAAATGAACCTCAATGTTGAGGTCTGGAGTACCCCAATTTTGGGGACCAGGCACCCCAATATTGGGGTCCAGGTCCTTCAAGTCTGTTTCTCAGCACTGACTGCTGTCAGGGCATAGCGTGGGTTACATTTAGTACGGGAGTATGGGTGCCTCAATACTGGGGTACCCCACATTTTACATTCTTATATGTTTTCTAAGAATATTTTTTGTAATTTAGAAAGATTTTTTTCTTTTAGGATTTTGGTCAGTAGTGGCTGCTTTAAAATGTGTGGCTTTTTCTTTAGTCTTAATCTTATAACTAATTATAATAATTCCTTCTGGTGATAGCATCCTGGGGAAACCAGCATTATTTGATTAGAATCAGCCTTCAAGTGGCACCCGCAGTAATAAATTATCAGATTCCTTATATTACCTCCAGCTCCATTATAATTCCTCTAGAACCAAACAGGTTAGAATTTGGAACAGTTTGGCTCTTGAGAAGGTAATCACAGAGACTGATTCCTAATTTCACTTTTTAAATGAGGTAACTCCTCAAAGTATTAGGACTAATATTAATCATTTTTCCCTTTTTATTAGGGTGAGGAAGGGGGGAGGGAGATCATGATGGTCCACAGATACCTACTAGTTTCAGTTTGAAAATCTCGGAAACCATCAAATATTGATCGTGCAGGTCGCCGTCTTTTAGGAGCTTTAACAGAAAACAAAAAAACAATTGATTAAAAATGTAACATTAATTTTGAAACAAATCTAAAAACATCCTTATCTGTCAAGTATTTCTTGCTGTAAAATGTTCATGCAGAGCCACACATGGTGGCAGATGCCTATAATCTCAGCAGTCAGGAGGCAGAGGCAGGAGAAATGCCTAGCCTGGGCACCAGGTTCAATCCCCAGTGCTGGGAGCAGGTGGTGGTCATAGATTCAAATTGCTGCCAGAACTAAGAAAACAAATGTTTCTTAAACTTTTAAGTCATTCATACATTCATACATAATTAACCCAACCAACTTTAGCACAACTATCTTATCTTGCAAATGAGAAAATTAGAGCCCAGTTAAGAGATGACCGACACAAAAACATAGGAATCCCAGTGGTGGTATTAGAAAGAAAGATGTTTAGGCTGACTCTCTGTGGGGAATAAAATAAAACTCATGTTTCAAATATTGAATTCAGTTACACCAAGGATCTAAGCATTAATTCTTAAGTTCAAATCCCTAGGCTTTAAGGACGTGTTAGTGACCAAAAATTCACTCAGTACAAACATAGTTAAAATTTTATCTCCCTGTATGAAAATGTTAAGCCAGAAAGAAATGGCCATGCTGCACACATACCAGCTTACTGTGTGCCTGGCTGGCGTATGACCAGAACAGTAAGGTATGACGAGCAGCACTGGGCAAGTCACTGCACACAATGCAGTAAAGATTTACTGCAAGTCACGGTAAGGATTTCTGTCAGAGAATTTAGTAAAAACCAATACAAAAGAACAAAAAAGGCAGAGTCACATGTTAAAAACTTCTTTGGTGAAAACATTTATATGGTATATCACTCATGTCTCATAACTATATTTAAAGAATCACAATATTACATCTGTAAATGACTTTTTTTTACGGAGCTGGGGATTGAACTCAGGCCCTTGTACTCAAGTGCTTATTCCACTGAGCTAGCTCCCTAGCCCTAAAGTGGAATAAGCGCCTGCCTAGGCAAGCACCAAAAACCCAGGTTCAATCCCTGGTATCACATTTCATGCCAGGTATGCTGAGCCGGTCACCAAGACTGAGCATGATGATCCATACCTGTAATACCAGAGGTGGGGAGGCTGAGACAGGAGGATCACTATGAGTCACAGCTGCGTAGTGAGACCCTCTACCAAATACATTAAAAAAAAATTGTTTTAGTTTTATATTGAATTCATATATTTAAATTGATTTTTTTTAATTTAAACTTCCTTTTTTTGTCTTTCTTATTTTTTCATTTATTTCTAATTAATAATAACTGAGGAAGCTGGGCAGGGTGGCATTTGCCGGCATATCCAGCACTCTGGGAGGTTAAAATAGGAAAATGGCAAATTCCAGCCAAGCCTGGCCAACTTAGCAACTTATAAAGAGACTGTCTCAAAATTGTAAAAAATTAAAAAGGGATAGGGATGTAGCTCAGTGTGAAAACTCTGAACGCAAACCCCAGTAACAGTAATATAATAAATTTAAATTTTTATTAAAGATTGAGAAATTTTTTCAACCCTGGAACTATTCAGTACTGTATTTGTATTTATTTCTAGCTGGCATACTACAGTTTCTCAATTTTTTTTCTTTTTTGAGGAATAGTGGGAATTGAACCCAGAGCTATAATGCCAGCTCTCCACCCCTTTAAGTCACTAAATTATCTCAGCTGGGTTCAAATTTATGGTCCTGCCTTAGCCCTACCAGAGTGCTGGGATCACGGGCATGCACCACCATGCTTGGCTCAATGATTTTTTAAAATTAGTGCTATGCCTTGTGTCTAGATGTCCATGCTGCAAAGCTTCAAGAGAGCACAGGTGGGAGTGTTAACCTCGCATGTACAAAGCCTTGTGTTCAATGCCAAAAAGTAAAGAGAAAAAAGCAGAAAATGAAAGGATTAGGCTGGGGATATAGCTCAGCATTGCAATATCTACCTACCAAACAAAAGGCCCTGAGTTCAATTATTAGTACCAAAAAAATAAACTAAAAAAAAAAAGGAGGAGAAAAGAAAAAAGGTAAAGGTAGAAAGGAGAAGGAAGCAAGAAAGGGAGGGAAGAAAGGAGGGAGGAAGGGAAACCTGGAGAAAAGAAGGAAGAAAGAATTCTGAATTTTCAGATCATCTTATTACATTTTTAGATCTACCTTGATTTGGAGACAGGGTCTTGCTATATAGTGCAGGCTGGCCTCAACTGAACTTGTTATGTAGCCCAGGTTGGCCTTGAATTCAGCAATCCTCCTGGCTCAATCTCCCCCCAAGTGCTGGGATTATAGATAGGCATGTGCCATCATGCCTGTCTATTCTTTTTTTAAATTTTTTTTTATTTTTTTTATTTTT